ATGAAAATGACAGAAGCTTTACTAATATTAAAAAGCCAGAAGCAAATGTGTGGAAATTTCTACAAGTTTTGTGTTTTCAATGATGATGAACTTAGCTTGTGGCAGGAGCCATTTCCAGCACAAATTGCTTTGCTATAGTTACACAGAGATTTGAATGTCAGAATATATACATCAATGTCTGCTGGTTTGGAACACAGGCTTATCCATTCATTGACCATAAAATGTGGGCATTCAGGAATGCCAAGAAAGAAAATTAAGTATTCTCATGTGCATTATGTGAGACCACTGGTAAAAGTAAGGTTCTGCTGGCTAAACTAGGCTTACTGTATTATTTAAGGTGTCAGATTGCTTGAAAAGAAATAAAGAATGCCTGCATGAAGTTGAACCTTGGTGTTACTGCAAGTGATTGGGAAGGGTGAATTATTTGAAGATGAAGCTAAGAGTTATCTGTCCCTTCCACTGAAAACTAAGTGGTGTGAAAACCAGAAACTATGACTGACCCCTTTGAGAGCCCAAAGATGAGTGAGATCATCTTCGTGCAAAGACTGTGTCTGTCTCACTATCCTGGAACCTTGGTTTCTCCAGTTTTTGGCTATCAGCCTTTCTGGCCAGGCCATGGAACACTGATGCACCTTAGATGGTAATGGAGTGTGGTTGTCCAGTTTTTGCATGGCTTAGGCAGCTCCTTGTATGTCAGATCAGCACTTGGTTTGCTCCACTGCCTCACAGTCAGTTTTCAGCATCGTCTAAGGCTTTGGTGTTGAGCTTCAAAACAACTGTTGGATCAAACAGCCCAGCAACATCAAAGGTTGTATTTCATTTGTGAACTGCCAGAATAATAGTATTCCTTTGGGCAATGTAGGTGCTATCAGAGCAAACATGCATCAGCTGGGAACAGTGTTGTGGGTTGGGAGTACAGGCTATGAAAAATACCCACAAACCTGCGAGGTGATCAGGGGAATCCAGAGTAAGATGTTTTAAAGAAAATGCTACAAACTCTCTCTGTTTATAAATATGTTCCATCATAAACGTGATGCAGAAACAACTTCTGTTTTCATCTGAAAAATAATTGTCAAAGAAAAGGAAATTAAGAAAACGTGGAATACTGTCAGATCTTACAAAATACTATATTTTGAAATATCCTTTTATATGAACCATAATAGGATAAACTTCTAAAAGGTGTGTACTTATGGTAGGGTAACTCCTAGCAGTATTTAAATCTTACCTTTTCTTAGCTTTATAATCACAAGTACCATGCAAAAATTGAAGGGTGACACAACTCAAAAAGGACTGAATGTTTTATGAGTGTAATTTTGGTGGACTCAAGTCTGATCAAATTCTAAACAAACCTTGAAAGTTTTGTTTTCATCTAATCAGAAATATTCTCCCAGTGTGCTTTGTAAAGTACTGTGTACAGAACTGATAGTGCCTAAGCATTTATTTCTCCTCCCCTCAACCTTGTTAGGAGAAACTGATAAATTGCTTAAAGTGTTGAACATAAAAATTGCAACCCTAGACAATTTAATTGTAGGGAAAAAAACGATTAAATTAAATACCATAATAAATATGTATTTTGTAAATTAAATCTTGGCAAATACAACTTTTATTTTTTTATGTACGTGCAGGTTTTGATGGTGGTTTTTTTTTAGTTCTCCCTTTTCTTCTGATGATAGTAGATAATTGCCACCTGAGAGCCTAATGCCTGGTAGAAATAAGACATCATTCTGTTCTTTTGGACATTTGAGTCCCTTGAGTGTCTGAGGTACATCAATTTCTTCATTTTCAGTATCTTGCAGCCTGCCTAACACATTTACCTGAGCTCCACCATCCATTCAGTCTTCTTTAGGAGGACAGAAAGTTGTCATTACATCTTGTAACAAGTACAAGTAGAGTTGAATTGGAGGTATTCTGTTGAGAAATGCAGCAAAAGCTCTAGAGGAACCTGCCCCGTTTGCCTCATTGGGCGTATGTTTCCAAAATGACTACAGTAAGGTCGAGTATGATCATTGTTGACTTGGTACAAATTGGAAGGTTGAAGGCAACAAGGTTTCCAAAACCTCTAGTGCAGAAATTTTACTGAATTTTTCTAAAATGTTGAGTTTGCATAAGAAGAATCTTGTTAGGCCTCAAAGGGAGACTACGTGAATGCAAAAATGTTTTCATCTCAATGTTATGTTCGAACTGGAAGTCTTTGTGCAAAGTTTCTGTGGAACTGGATTACAAAATACGTGGGCTGGTGTCGTCTGAAGATAGAGCGAGCTTGTCACCCTTGAGCAGAATGAAAACAGCAAGATGATCGCTAGCAAATCCAGTTCTCATGGCCAGTCGGATTTGATGTCTGAACAAGTTTCCTTCCACAGTTGAAGTTGGTAATAAGTACACACTCCAAAGTCTGTGTTACATTGTCGCTAACCTTAGACATGGAGTACAGGCAGTTGAAATCTGTTCTTTGGTTAATCTCTTTTTTGATAGCAATTGCCTTAGGAAGGGTCGCATCCTGAGTCTGTAAATTGCATCTTATTTGTATCTGAGGAAGTTTTATATGTGTAATTTTGAACTATGATTTTACTTCTTTTCTCCAGCTCTTGTGGTGAGTAATGTGAAGTCACAAGATTTCTTCTTCCTGACTGGCTGATATAAATTTGAAGCAAGAGAGGAAAAATAATGAGTTTCTGTTGTTCAGCTGTGGATGATAAATGTTCCTGTTTAAGTTTTTAACAATTTCAAGGTCTTACGAATATTTTAATGAATATGTAACCGGTGATACTTATAAGATAAACAGCTTCATGATTCCTGATGAATGAAAGAGGCATCTTTGCCATTATTTCTTTTGCTATAGCAAGTGTTATGTTTAACACTTCTCTGCATATTTTCTTTTGGAAAAAATTAATATGAATATTTAATGGAAGTGAAGGTTTGATCTGCATGTGTGTAATTATCTTTTACGTGTGCATATATAAATGACAAAACTTAGGAAACAATGCAGTCTCAACACTTCACTGACATAACTGAGAATGTGAATGAACAGCCCAAGATGATGGGCTGCCAATTAGACTGCCAATAAATGTTAGTATTACAGAACTCTGTTGCATGATGTTGCACATACACATTAAAAAATACTTCATTGCATACAACAGCTTTGAATGCTACTTCTCTTTTTCAGTTCTTTTTAAATGTAAGATTGGTATGCACCAGTTATATTGAAAGAATGGATGCAATGGGAAGGACAAGCAAAGAGCAAATATTTAATGTTTAAAGAACTTGAAATAAGCTATAATTTAATGCAGAATGCTTTTCAGTTATGGAAATTAATTAGCATAAAGGTGACCTTCAGAATAGTTTTCCATGGAGTTAAGTAGTGCTCTATAGTATTGTACTAAAAGATGAGCTTGGAGATTTTTTTGGTAAAAAAAAAATACTTTGTTATGAAGTAGAACCTGAAGTTCCTGATAATCAATGTGCTTTTTGATAGGTGGTTTTACCTTAGGAAGCTTACAATGCTGCAGAGTCTGATGATACTTTTAGTGTTTTTATACACCCAGCTATATAATTACCTTTATTAGTATTTCAGAGTGGTAAAGAACAAAATGTGTGTTTAGTATGTTTTTCCTCTACCTTCTGATTGCAGATGTGGCTTTTAGCCATATCTTCTGCTTACTTTCGGTGCACTGCAGAAGTGTCACTGGTCAAGCAAGAATAGACTCTTGCAGAGGTGACTAATCTTACCTCTCACCAGCTCATTACCTTTCACTCATTCTATATGCAGATATAAAAGGGACCATTGGTATAGTTTCTCTTCGGCTTTTTGTGATTTTTTTAAAATTATTATTTCTATTTTTTTATTGTGGGAAAGTAGGCGCACATAAACACTGTTTGTTTAAAACTGGCTGACAGAAATGGTGAAAGATCAGAACAAAAATTAATTTTAAATATATAACGATGTGAAGGTATTCATAGAACGAAAGATCATTTAAATGGGTACTGTTTTGGAAACTCAGCTATGTGCATGTTGATTAGATATATAAACAAAAGGTAACAATGTCTTTAATTATAGTTTCTTTGCATTTGTTTGTGCTTTTTGTCATAAATATGCATGGATCTAGGGTTCACACTGCTTAGAAATGCCTGTGAGCTTTCTGTTTGCATTTCTGTGTACATATACAATTACATATGCCCTCCAGTCTGTCTGGTTTTTTTTGTGCCTATTAGCAAAAACTTAGAAAAGTGGTGCCATCAGTTCAGGACTGAGTGGAGCAGAACTTATATCTGCAAAATCAGTCAGCTTTTTTTATATTATCCAATACTTTTATGGAACAGCATCTTCTGTGCTCTCTTTGTTAAAGAATTGGTGAGGCAGTACCGTACCTTGGGGAAACTTGCCAACACCAGCCGCCCATCCTAAGACATGCTTTGGGGACAGAGGGAAGCTGGGCTGCAAGGAGGGATCTGGGAGAAAGCCTGAAGAACATGCATCTCATGTGGAGGATGGTTGAAACTCCCTTAGAGCAGTTAATTCAGTTTAGGCAGCATTTTGTTTTTTAACTGCAAGGACACCCTGATGTGAGTATTTAATAAAATTCACCTTACAGCAGTGATTAATGTATCCATAAGTGAGTATCTCTTTGCCAGTGTGTTTCTGAGAGACAGTAAAGCTGCATATTACTTAGACACTTGCTCTCAGATGGCTGTTGATTAGTTGCTGTGCAAATCTCTCCTAGATTTGGTAGATTTAACATGACAATACTGGAGGGTAGAATTTGAATGTAAATACTTGTCCTTCCTTTTTTAATGATGTTTCTTCAACCTTTAGCAAAAAGCCTTGGAGGAGAGCACTGATGATGGCAGAAATTATTCTGTTTTCCTGCCTATAATAGTGGTGGTCTTTGGCTGCGGTTGAGCCCAGTGGTTTTTGTTACAACCTCCCTGTTCATTGATGGGGTTGTGGCAAGTAACATGGACTTGCTTGCTTGTCTTGTAACTTTCCATTTGTCACCTGACAGGCTGAAGAGGAAACAGTGGCCTTTCTTGCTCACAGTGGAAGTGAAGAAGAGTTTGATCCAAGTACTCTTCCAGATCCTGATAAATACAAAGATTCTAATGAAGAGCAAGATTCAGAAAGTGAAGACAGCTATAGGTATGTACCATCTTCCATGATCATTTTGAAATGTTCATGTTTTTATACACTGTTTTGTTTAGATATTAGGAACCCTGAGATTAGCTCAGTTAGTTAGAGTGTGGTACTAACAACACCAAGGTTGTGGGTTCAGTCCCTGTATGAACCATTCACTTAGGAGTTGGACTCAATGATCCTTATGGGTCCCTTTCAACTCAGAATATCCTGTGATTCTGTGAACTCATCTTAAAATCATCCTCTTTCTCTTTTAGTATTTAAGTTTTAGTTTGTGTAGAAACAGAAACTGAGCCAGAACAGAAATCTGAGCCAAAGGGTGTTATTCTCTTTTATGAAGCTATATGAGAAAGATTTTGAGTCAGTGTCGAAGGGATCTCAGTGAGACTGTTTCACCTGCAAAAATCTTGACTAATTCCCTGGAGGTTTTGTATATTTCTGTGGTGGGTTGACCCTGTCTGGACACCTGGTATCCACCTAAGCTGCTCTGTCACTGCCCTCCTCAGCTGGACAGAACAGAGAAAGTATAATGAAAGGCTCATGGGTTGAGATAACACCAGGGAGAGATCTCTCACTGTTTAATGTCATGGATGAAACAGACTTGACTTGGGGAAAAAATGAATTTAATTTTTTACCAATCACATCACGGTAGGGTAGTGAGAAATAAAACCTAATCTTAAAGCACCTTCCCCCCACCCCTTGCTTCTTGCCAGGATTACCTTTACTCCTGTTTTTCTCATATGTCCTCATCTCCAGTGGCACAGGGGGAGGGGGAATGGGCATCGCAGTCAGTTCATCATATGTTGTTTCTGCCACTCCTTCCTCCTCAGGGGAGGACTCCTTCCCCTGCTCCAGTGCGGGGATGCCTCCCACAGGGGACATGGCTCCACCAGTTTCCCCAGCTCCCCCCTTTGGGCTGCAGTTCTTTACAAGCTGTTCCAGCATGGGTCCCTTCCTTGGGGTGCAGTCCTTCAGGAACAGGCTGCTCCAGTGTGAGCTCACAAATTCTGCCAGCAAACCTGCTGACCTGCTCCAGTGTGGGCTTCTCTCTTCACAAGGCCAGAGGTCCTACCAGGAGTCTGCTCCAGTGCAGGCTTCCTACAGGGTCACAGCCTCTTTCAGGCATCCATCTGCTCTGGCCTGGGGTCCTCCACTTTGGGCTTCAGGTGCTTTGCTACATTGTGGACCTCCATGGGCTGCAGGGGCACAGCTGCCTCACCACAGTCTTTGCCGCAGGCTGCAGGGGAATATCTGCTCTGGTGCCTAGAGCATGTCCTTCCCCTCCTTCTTCACTGATCTTGATGTCTGCAGGGCTTTTTCTCTCACATTTTCTCACTTCTCTCTCTGTCTGCAGTTGCTGTTGTGCAGTTTTTTTCTCCTCTTCTTAACTGTGTTATCTCAGGGGCACTGCCTCCATCACTGGTGGGCTTGGCCTTGGCCAGTGGCATGTCTGTCCTGGAGCTTGCTGGCATTGACTGTGTTGAACATAGGGGAAGCTTCTGGCAGCTTCTCACAGAAAGCCAACTCTGTAGCCCCCTACTACCAAAACCTTGCCATACAAAGCCAATACAGTTTCAGAAATGCATTTTTCTACTGTCACATTAGAGGCTCTGTATGAAAGGAAAAACATTGAAGTCATTTGAGGATTTCAATGAGTCCTTTGCACCTGTCCTGTATTAAATAAATTTGTGCATGGTGAAACTTGATAAGTTCTATGATTCAGTGTTGCTCAGACTCTTCAACATTCACATGAAGTGGAATCTAAATTAGTAGTAAATATATAATAAAATTAACAATGTTAAACTTTTCTTCTCAATTTAAAACTGTTTTTAATTATATAAATCAGAAGATTTTTTTCTTGTAGTTTAACAGAAAAGCACAGGGTGGGGATGAGGTTCTGTAATTGATGGCAACATACTGCAGTTCTGGAGCATATACTGCAGGAAGATGGAGGGATACCACATGAAGTTCTGTGTGGTTTTTGTCGTTGGCTTCACTGTAACAAGAAATCCGTTTGTGTGTTTCTGACAAACAGCTTATTGTGTAAGAGATTCAAAAAGGTGATCTTGAAACTTAAATGGGAGTATAGAGTTTTATTTTGCTCTATTCTAGATGCCTAAATTCATAAAGCTCTTGCTTTTCACATCTGAATTGTCTAAGTCCTAGTGGCTAGATTGTCCCTATCCATCTGTCACTTAATGTTTTGGAGGCAGTATGCAGAACTGGGTGTGGGCATGGATCTAAGGACTGGATAGCCCTAAGTTAACAGGCTGGTGACTGTGTCCTCTGGAGCCCATTCAGTGGACCCACCAGTATGGGTCAAGAGAATGACAAGGATAGGGAAATGCATTGGTTTTTCTGAGCAGCAGTAAATTGCTCCTTCTGGTGCAAGGGGGAGTATGCATTCATACATCATGTTCGGTATTGATTCCTTCCTCAGAACATCAGCTAGACTCAAGATGAGCTAAGCTTTAAGAAAAAAAGTTGACAGAGATGGACAGATTTTTGGCAGTGGTAATAAATGCAGATTTTTTTTGAATCAGTGGCTGATTTGGTCAAGATTTGGCCAACATGTCTCAAGAACTGGCATCATCTGAAGCTTCATAACCAACTGTTGTCAACTTCAGGACACAGTACTGGTCTCAGTTGTTTGCCCTGACTTATGGTTGACTTTTTAATAATGGGAAAGGTCCTTTACTGCCTCCAAGGAAGGTTTTAGAGGGTTTTGTCAATTTCTCCATCTTTATACGCTCAGACTGAATATTTTCCTGCTTTTCAGTTTTGTCTGTGTTTGCTGGAGGACTGGGGCAATGAAGAATAGGTGTTTTTAGCATTTTAAAGAAGGCAAGAGGACAGAAATTTAGAAAGTGAGTCAAATTGCTTCAAGTTCTTCAGCATTTAAGCTGAACAGGAGTTAACAAGGACCCAAAGAGCAGTTGCAAACAGCCTTGCTCGCCCTGAAATCCAGAACTTTCTATTATAACCAGGGACAGACTGGGACTGGATTTGTCAGTCATTGCTAAGAATAGTAATTAAGTTGAAGTGAGTGGTGAGAACAGCCAGGGCAGGTATGCAAAAGAAAAGAGGGAAAAACTGTGGGATGCTCACTAGGGCAGGAACAGTGCACAACAACATGCAGAGAGATAAATTTGGAGAAAGTCAGGGTCCAGGATCAAATTACATTTCTAGGAGTGCCTGAATGGAGTGTGTTGGAATTCAGAGCCATTGATGGCTCCGATGTGCAGTGCAGCTTAATCCTGTGCTGGCTACAGCCTGCCCAGGGAACATCAGTCATGTTGTTACAGGCTAAATGGATTTGGCCAGGGTACGGGCATAACTATTGGCATGTGATTGTCCACAACTGCTGTGACTTTGGGTGGTGCCAACTAAGGCTCTTCTGGGCAATGTCTCAGTGTATTTTGGTGTTGCAGGAAAGGCCAAGAACTGTTTTCAGTCAGCAGTGTTGATGAAGCCACATTTCTTCAGAGCATGTAGTGGCCTTGCTCTGAAGTCAGCTTTGATGCTTAGTGTAGGTATGTCTGGAGACTTGCGAGGCGCTCTGAGCACCCCTTAGAAGGCTTTTGAGAAAGCAGAGGTGCAGCTGGAAGAGGAAGATACAGTGAAGGAGATTAACTTAGGTCTGGAAAAAATTATGGAAATCAAGAAAACCAAGGGAATTTGAATAACCAGTAAACTTATAGATAAAGGAAAGTGGTAGCTGAAGAGACTGGTGGTGAGCATAAGGCCATAGAGAATTGTTATTTGATTTTGTATTGGGAAGGAACGAGATGGAAGGGATGTATGCAGGGAAGGAGGAGGGAGGATAATGGATCAAGAAGAATGAGTAAGGGAGCAGGCAAGAAATCTTGCTGCCAGTGGGAAGGAGGGAATTTTGTTAAAACAACATTCATGCCTCATACACCTTTCTTAGAGCTGCCACTGAATTGTATGATGAGTTGCTCTTGAGGCTGGGAAATATTGACCTACTGATTTTAACAAAACTAGTTCAACCAAGAGTAGCAGACAGTGAAATTAAGCTTTCATATTAGAAAATACAACTCTATATTTCCAAAATCCAGAGCTTTTGTTCAAAGAGTTGGATTAAAATTAGAAATATGTTGGGCTACACTAGCTGTTACTTGCTTTAAGGAGAAAAAAAAAGGAGATAATTCAGAGTAAGTATATGAGACTTAGGGTGTCTTCCTTCAAGAGTCTTTAAAAATAAACCATCTGTCCATGCTTTAAAAAGTCAAAGACATTGTTAATCTCTTCTCCCTCCTCCCCTGGCATTTTTTTTAACTGGGGGAGCTATACAAATAATGGGTTAAATTTGCCTTTGAGTAAAATTCCCTTCCAGCCATACCTCTAAGAGCAGAGTAATTAATTACTACTAGCATGTAATATGAGATTAATTTTTGTATATCTAGCAACATTCATCATATTTGGTTTAAGGCTATCAATGTAAATTATTAATGAGGTGAAAAATTTAAGAATATAGAACAGGGTGAAAGAAAAGCAGCTGAATTCCTTAAATATTCATTTTGCGATTGAATTGAGTTTCTGGTATTTCTAATTCCTCAACCTCTTTAAATAAAAATGAAGAACAAAGTTCCGACTGACCCTCATCATTACCTTTAAATCTTTAATAGGTGTGACTGATCACATTAACTCTTAGACCAGCATGGAAAAGATCTTGGACATGAGGGGAAAGGAACAATGTCTTAGTTCTTGTACTGGTTTGTTTGTGAGTTTATGGACAGTCACCAGCTGACAGGTGTGCAAGCTAGTATTCAGTGCTGCTTGGTTGTGCGCCTGCCTTTATTTATGGTAAACTGCAGTTTCTTGTGCCTTTTTATACCAGGATGCTGATGTTGACTTACTAAGTTTTACATGATTCTTAATGAGGTTGCCATTATATTGTCTTTTGAGATGATTCATCTGCAAATATATGGTGTTCCTTCTAACATGGATTATTCAGTTCATAGCAGTTATTTTATGAAGGTCAG